GTTTTCTCAGCCGGCCCTATCCACACAACCGTGACGGCCCTACGATTCTCTCCTTCGAGCAGAGACTCATGATGGAGGAAGGCAGTGGATCCTCCGAATTCAGAAAGACAGAGTCGCTAGTCAGCGGCGACTCTCCTGCCCTTCAGGCCGCGATGGCTGAAGAGCTGTCCGACGCGGACGAAGCCCCAGGAACCCCCGATACCTTCTACTCTCCGCCAGTTTCACCTGGTCGACTTTCGCGCAACCCCTCCTTCTCCTACCATGATGACTGGGAAACGTTTCCGGCCCTGGACCAGCTGAGCGTCTTCGATTTGCTTGACAATTTCTCTCTATCCCAGAGGCTGGAGAAGCTGCAGCAAGCTTTGAATGCACAGAAGGCAAAGGTTCAGAAGCAGCGCGAGAAACTCAAGTCGTCCTCTTTGACTGCCAAAGAACGTGTTGTGGGAGAATGGAAAAGAAGGGTTCCGACGGCCGATGAGCGGCTTGACAAGTATCGTCGGCGCATGAAGACTGGCGTGGAGAGACTGGGCAAGCAATGGAACGCAACCGCAACCGTGACCCTGCGCGAGAAGATCTCCTTCATAGCCGGTGTCCTCAATATCTTCATCAGTGGCTATCTTCTCGGAGGATGGCCGGAGTGGTTCTATATCTGGTTCAGCGCACAGTTGGCGTATTTCATGCCTATTCGATACTATGGATACCATAAGCGAGGCTACCACTACTTCCTCGCCGATTTGTGCTACTTTGTCAATCTGCTCTGCATGCTGAGCATTTGGGTCTTTCCCGGCTCGAAGCGACTGTTCATCAGCACCTTCTGTCTGACGTTTGGCAACAATGCGGTGGCTATTGCCATGTGGCGGAACTCTATGGTATTCCACAGTATGGACAAGGTAGTCAGGTAAGCGCGCTCTCACCATCCCCAGTACATGAGAACATCTGCTTAGCTGAACTCATAGTCTGTTCATCCATATAATGCCACCGGTGACTCTGCATTGTCTGGTCCATTTGACATCTGCCGCCACTCTGAAAGTAAGGTTCCCGGCTATTTATGCTATCAAGTTTAGCGAACCTGGGTCTCCCGACCATTTCACACTCCTCGAAATGATGGGGTGGGCAACTGTGCCATACATGATCTGGCAGGCTGCCTATCACTGCTTTATCACAGTCCGACGCGCGGAGAAGATTGCTGCCGGGCGCCCGACCAGCTTTACCTGGCTCCGCAAGTCTTATGCAAAGACTTGGTTAGGCAAATTCGTCTTGAGCCTCCCTGAATCCCTGCAAGCCCCCGCTTTCATGCTGATTCAATATTTCTACGCGATTCTAACCATGATTCCGTGCCCTCTTTGGTTTTGGTCTCGGTGGGCCAGTGGAGCTTTCCTCACCGCCCTCTTCATTCTTAGTGTGCACAACGGTGCCACATATTACATTGACATCTTTGGCAAGCGCTTCCAGAAAGAGCTGGAGGAGCTCAAGAAAGATGTGGCGCGGTGGCATTCGTCTCCCGAGGGAGCCATCAGCCCAATGCTGCTACCGTCTGACCAGGGCGCATCTTCTGCCGATAAGGCCCACGCTGAGTCGACTACCGCCGGAAGCGCTGAGCCCAACAAGGCTAGCATTGATGCAATCCCTCTTCTGGATGCCCCTGCAGCTTCTACTGGTATTGAGAGCGCTGCACTTCCCAGCAACGACTCCACTGTGCGGGAAAGATCGTGATTCTTCTATCTATGCGAAGGGTTTACTATTTAGTCTCTAAGGTCTTAGTGGTTTTACTTGCACATTCCTGGACCCGCGATTGCATTTTGAATGGCTCCAATACGATACCCAACTCGATAGTCGTTCTTTCCCTTTCTACACTTGGAGCAATGCTGGGTTAGCATGATTTTGGTCGACTGTGTAGTTAGTTCTGCGTTTTGATATAGCCATTAGATAGAGCGGAAGTTGTGCTTATTATGACTGAATGAATTTTTCCTTTGAAAACAATGACATATTGTATTTTCCCTCTGAATCTGCATGAGTGCCCGGGCTCTGACTCACCAATGGAGGATTCGTTCTCCGAAATACTCGCAGGGAGGCGGACTCGCTCGGGATTTAGGAAGAGACGGACGGGACTACGAGGCGGAGCTCCCGATTCGGCGGCGACAAAATCCATTTATCCCCGAAGACCGGAGAGGTCACGTGAAGTAGCCACCTTCTGCTCCAGACCTTCGCCGACGACACCACGACGACAAACTTCCCTCCCCGAATTCCAAACTATTATCGCCTCTGATTATACCTGTGTGTTTCGCTGGGATTACATACTACTTTCTGATCTCGCATTGCTGTGCATATTTGTTGCCCTCGCTCGTTGCCCCGAGCCTTTTCGATTAGATCTCCGCCATGTCCGTCACACTGAGGTCAGCTAGCCTTATGCGCGGCAGTGGTGCGCTGCGCTCAAACCTGGTCGGTATGTTATCCCGCTTTTATCGCTGGGCGGATCGATTCGGCAGCAAGGTATACTTTGCTAGCGAAACAATGTGATGGCTAATTCAGATGTGATGCGTCTCTAGTCCGACCTCGTTTGACCGGAGCGTTGGCTGCGAACACCGCCGCAAACCTCCGCCTCAACAGCAGAGGACTGCCATCCCACATCTCGGCCCTTGCGATCCTCGTCCCCCATCAGCGCGGCTATGCCACCGAGCCGTCCTCTTCCACATCCTCTTCCTCTGACCCTCTTCCTCCCCCTGGCTTCAATGCCGAACAAGCCAAGAAGCCGCTCGCTGCGGAGCAGCAGCAGCAGCAGCCCGCCAAACAGGTAGTTTCTGCGTCCGAACAGTCCGTCAAGGCGCCCACCAAGACATCCGGCACGGAAACCTCAAATGAATTGACGACGGCTAAGAGCGCGGATGCCGACAAGAAGACCGATGAGAAGAAGGAGACGAAGAAGTTGACGCTCGGCCAGAAGATCAAGAAGGAAGCCCAGCACTATTGGGACGGTACGAAGCTTCTGGCCACCGAGGTCAAGATCAGTTCTCGCCTTGCGCTGAAGATGGCTGCGGGTTACGAACTCAGCCGGAGAGAGCACCGCCAGGTGAGTACTGCGGCAAGATTCCGTGGCCGGTGCGGTCAGGGAGACACGCCTTTGCTGATTCGGCCTTTCAATGAAAATAGCTTCGCAGAACGGTGTCCGATCTGGGACGTCTGGTTCCATTCTCCATGTTCGTCATCATCCCCTTCGCCGAATTGCTGCTCCCGGTCGCCCTGAAGCTCTTCCCCAACATGCTGCCCAGCACCTACGAGGGCCAGAAGGGCCGCGAGAAGAAGGCGTTGAAGCTCAGCTCCACTCGGAAGGAGGTCTCGGGCTTCCTGAAGGACACGCTGCGGGAATCGGGTCTCCCCGTGACGGCGGCGACGGTGAAGAACGAGGAGTTCACCGAGTTCTTCAAGAAGATCCGGACCACGGGCGAGTCGCCGACGCCGGAGGACGTGATCAAGGTTTGCAAGATCTTCAAGGACGACCTGACGCTGGACAACCTGTCGCGGCCGCAGCTGGTGGGCATCTGCAAGTACATGAACCTCAACTCGTTCGGCACGGACGCGATGCTCCGGTACACGATCCGCCACCGCATGCGCCAGATCAAGCGCGACGACCGGGCCATCTTCTACGAGGGCGTGGAGTCGCTGTCCGTGCCCGAGCTGCAGATGGCGTGCGCCTCCCGCGGCATCCGCACGCACGGGGTCTCCCCCGCCCGCCTGCGCGAGGATCTCTCCGTCTGGCTGGACCTGCGTCTGAAGCAGGGGGTCCCCTCCACGCTCCTGGTGCTGAGCAACGCCTACGTCTACGCCCAGGGCGGTAAGGAGGCCGAGATGTCCACCCAGATCGAGGCCCTGCAGTCCGTCCTGTCGAGCATCCCCGAGGAGCTCTTCCACGAGATCGAGCTCGAGGTTCACAACGCCGAGGGCGCCGCCACCAACAAGCAGCGCCTGGAGGTCATCAGGGAGCAGCAGGAGCTGATTGAGGAGGAGAACAGCCAGAACAGCGAGAACGAGGAGAAGGGCGTCTCCGCGCCCAAGGATATTGAGGACATCGACGACGACAAGGATGAAGTCAAGTACCGCTCGCGCTCGCAAGCCTCCGAGGCCTCCGAGGCCGTCAAAGAGGGTGACCGCGTCGAGGAGAGCCCTGCCCAGGAAGCCGCCGCCGCTGCCAAGGAAGAGAAGAAATAAAAAGGCTGTAACTCTATGCCGAATTGCCTCTGGTTTTTTTTTCCCTCTCTGTGTGGGCGTTGCTTTCGAAATTTGATGACCCTCTGTGACATATAGACATATTACTCTACTTTTCTTTTCTACTCTTGTGTTAGTTAGTGCTTATATGATAGACTTCATACTGAACCTTCATGTTTGGGTGCTGTATAGGATATCAGCACTGTAAAATCACGACTAAGAGCAAAAAACAGCTTCAAATGAGGACTGGGATGCCTACGCAACAGCCTGGCAGACGAGGAGCTCTACACAGTCCTAACACACTTGATCGTATTCACCTCTGCCTTAAAATTAAACCTATTGCAGTTACAGTACATTGGTTCCCCTCGGATCTAGTCAGCCTGGTTCTCACTGCATAGGTTGGTTGTTCCTCTTTTCCCATCGGACAGTCCCACCTCCCCTAAGACCAACCTCGGCAACTGAGAGACCCCGGACTCGGGCCCTGCCCTTCTGCCACAGTGCCACTCCACCTCCACTTCATCTCCACCTTACCCTTGGCCAACCAACCTCCAACCACAAGTCTCTAGTATCTACATATCCAGCCCATTCGTTCCGTTCCCATCTCATATCTTCCTTTCTTTACCCCCGACCAAGAAACAAGAACTCGAATGCAGATTTGATCTAGAACGGCAATGCGCCCCTTCCACTTCCACTTCCACCTCCACCCACGCCTCAATTCCAGTGCCCGAGTATCTTATCCCCAGTTCCAACCCCAATCCCATCCTCAATCCTTCGGCACGCGTAGAAGATTCCTGACCACGATGCCGCGGCTCAACCCCGTCTCTCAGGTACCGTACCTTCCTCCATATTCCATTCACCTATTCCAAGAAAGCCGTTCCCTTCCCTCCTCAAATAGCACCTAACTTAACCTCCATTAATCACCCTCATCTGCCCTGTACTGCTACACGCGCAAACAAGGGCAAGTCAAAGGGAAAGGGAAAGATGACGTAACACAAACTCAAACCCTATACCCTACATCCAACCCCAACTCCAACATCTTACTGTCAATAGCCCAGAACACACAAAAGAAAGGGCACTTCTTTGATTTGACAAAATCTTTACATGCTCAATATGATTTACAGTACAGTACAGCACAGTACAAGTGTGTCTTCATGGCTGATCAAAACTTGCGGTTCTGTGGACGGGAATAGGCCGCTATCGATAGACTCAGACAATATACGCCGCCGGCGACGAACTACGACCTCGCGCCGCTGTCGCGTCGCGCAGCGGTCTTGGTGCTGCTGTATGCGGATCGGGAGGGGGCGTTGAGGGTGGTTCTGACGATGAGAGCGAAGACGTTGAGTTCTTGTATTGACTTCCCCTGTTTTGGACTTCGGGGAGGGATTTATCCGGACGAGTTCTCGGTGCTGTCGATGCTAATGATGGATTTTTGATGAGTATCTAGATGCTGGTCAGGCTGCTTTACCCGGTGGTGAGTACATGTTCATGTTCTTCTTTGAAACATGAAGCAATGGTAGAGAGCTGATTCACCAAGGCCGCGCCGATTCTCTGGCCGAATCGCCCTTTCAGACGGCCCGCCGCGAGGCCTACGAAGAGATCGGTCTGCCGCAGGAGGACAGCAGCCTTCCGCGGCCCTTCCGCGTGGAGCATCTCTGCGAGCTACCGGCGAACCTCGCCCGGACGGAGCTGGTGGTCCGGCCGTGTGTGGCATTGCTGCATTCCTACGACGAGGCCACGGCCGAGAACGCCGACCCCGAGGTGTCGTTGATCCCCCGGCTGGATGCCAAGGAGGTGGCGGCGGTGTTTACCGCCCCGTTCCAGGATTTCCTGCGCGTCAAGGGCGACACCGACCCTCAGTGGTATCGGGGATCGTGGACGGAGTGGCATGAGAGTCGGTGGAGAAGTAAGCTTTGTCTTTCTCTTTCGTCTGCGACTTTCGCCGAGGAAAATGTGCTTGTGCTGGACGCTAACGCAACCCACCTACGGAAAAAGTGCACCAATTCTTCGTTCCGGTTCGTTCGGAGGACGTGGTCAAGCCGAAGGGTGAGAATGAAGAACAGCAACACCTCCTCAGCCAGCTGGAAAAGCAGGAGGAAGGGTCCGCGGCGGCGCGGTACCGGGTCTGGGGCATGACCGCTCGGATGATGGTGGATGTGGCGCGAGTGGCGTATGCACAGGAACCCGAGTTTGAACACAACAGCCACTTTGGGGACGAGGCGATGATCTCACGCCTGCTGAAGATGGGCCGCTTGAGTGCGGTCCGGAAAAGGGGGGATCAGTTGACCAAGGAGGATATGAAGCTGGCTGCTAAGCTCAGTTGAGGGCTGTCATCCTTCCCCTGCATATATTATGACGACACATGACCAATTGCATTAGAACAAGACACAAGTCCGGTTGAATAGACGGCTGATGATATTGCCAGCATAAGCGGCTAAGCATCGATCCCACATAGCAAACATCTCTGATGCCCCGCAAACTTAGCCCAACAGAGCGACTTTTCACCTGGACCTCTTGCCCACGGGCTGGGATGCATGAGTGAGGAGCTGAAGACTATCGACGGAGATTATTTGGAATTCTGATCCCGCTCGGAATTATAGCAAGATAGCGTGCTGCAGGACTCAACATTGGGACTGTTGGGGTGACACAGATGAAATAGCACTAGCTGGCATCCATGCTCATAAACGTAGGCTACTAAGCGCAGCAGACCATCCCAGAGGCCCCAAAGCCCACAGCAACAAACCAGAGCTCAAGGGAAGGTCAGTGACGACACGAAGGGTTGGACATCACTCCGCGCAAGATTGTCCGAAGGCTGTAGGATATTCCTTGAATCACCGTCTGAATCGCAGCAGCCAGACCAGTATAACTCAAGCTTCGTAGATGCCGCGCTAGAGCAGTGCGCAACCCATTATCCGATAATTCATACCCAACCCCGTCACACAACCTCTGATACTCCAACTCCTCCGTACCGAAGTCGGACGACGCCACGCGAGATCGAGGGGCCTCCCAATCCCAAGCCCAGGTGTGACAAATTCCCGCAAATGCACGATGCACCAACTGAAGATCGGTCGCACTTGATTTGTAGAATCTCAAGCAAGTCTCCTGTCTTTTGGACTGGAGGTGTGGTTCACCGGAAGCTCCGGCGGTGGCGCCCTTTGCGCTGCTCCTCGTTGATTGCTTTCCAATGCACGTATCCGTAGGCTAACGCTAATTCTCTGCGAACAGCCAGCGAACCTCTCCATGAACCACGTCTCCGGTAATAAAAGGGAGGCCTCCGCTCGGTTAGGTCCTAAAGCTCTGGGGGGGGGTCCGGTATTTGTCATTCTTAATTAACTCAGTGTACCGTGGGTTATCTCTGTCAGGTGTCGATCCAATGGGTGTTTGCGTGGTAGTGCAGTCAATGTTTGAGGTTTGTACTACTTGCTCTGCAGATATTAGACGCTCTGACCTCGCGAAATAGGCCAACGATTGTAGGCCGCAAATATCTGGTCCTGCGAGGTACCAGCAATGAAGCTGGTGGTGATGATTACTGAGGCAAGACCAGGACAAGGCCTCTGCTATTGTCCTAGTCGGAAACGAGGTCCAAAGTATAAGTTCCTGCAGAGCCGGACCGTGCCATTTCATTATCCAGCTTATAGCCATGGATGGCTAGGAAGGCGGCTGGCTCTTATCATTTCGCGGGACCGTCGCATGGATACAGGGTTATCGGCTGGTGTACGAGCATGGGGGTAATTGATGTGAGAACAAATGTACGTGTCTGTCAGTAGGAGACAATCATGGTAGACGGAGTCCGGGGTTCTAGAGATAGATCATTGCCCATACCGTCCGCCTCGGACACCTTCTGCTGATCTATCGGAGGAGATGGCTGTCGAAGACCTTGCTTCTTCTAGTTCACTCTCGGAAGAGTCTCGTGACAGTATGCAGGGCGAGGAATGACGGCACGAGATGGTTTTCTTCAGACCTCCTGCATGATGCATCGACGTTGTGCGATGTTTGTTGTCTGGGTCAAAGGTGGCAGCTGCAAGTTTGATGGTTGGCCTCTCAAGGTACCATTTTGTGTCTTGATATTGTAGCCATGCTTGCTTTAGAGAGGTTCTCAACGATAGCGATTCGCATTTTAGTTGCCAAACTCTCCGGAACACATGATGAACATTCCCAATGATACTCAAGCTATCCCCGGATAAAAAATGCAGGCGGCCAATGACTGCGGAGATGGAGAATAGGAAGAAGTGCTTTGATTGTTCTTGCAATCGTTCTATCTGATTGCTCGGTCTGATCACCTGGTCACTGCCTGGCACCTACTGTCGTATTTGCTTAGTGTACTAGGATAGTGTAGTAGATTTCCAAGTTTCATCGGATTTCATCAATTGAGTAGGCCAAGTCATTGATAGATCACAGAAATGATCTTGGTAAGATAGCGAGACCAATTGCTTTCCCTCCCCTATGTTGGTATATACTGCGTACACAGCCGTGAGAGATTGTTCAGCTGAATTGGCGAGTCAAACCTGTCTTAGATGTTTGGTGAGGCATTTACAACTGGTATCCAGCTACGGTCGGGCAGCGATTACTATCGATCAGGCGGTCCCTAACATCCCCCGAGACCTTGACCTCGTATTCCCGTCCGCTGATCGTCTAGTTGAGTCTCACCGACTCACTTTGGCTGTCCAAGAATTCATCTTAATGCTTGGTACCGGAAAAGCTACAAAGCATGTGGGTATTACCGGTTTGAATGTGACCAAGAACACGAATATGAGCAATGGTGATGTCAGACAGGAGGGTCCCAGTGCCGATCAAAGCATTGTTGGCAGGTTGACGGTGAAGGAAGGAAATATGCGGTCTGTCCTCCAATCGTCAGGATGGCGGGCCGCCGCCAAACTCGGCAGCAACAGCAATAATGACCCCCATAAGATCGACCTCCGCCGGGCGGCATATCTGAAACAGATCGATGGTGCGAGTGGACCAGATCCCTAGAAGCAGGAGCGGTGACTTATGCGATTGGTGGCCCCCCCTTGAGTCTCTCTTGTTCTAGAAGATTCATAATGGAAGCGGTGTTGGTCTTGTCGAGCTTCTCTGCGCAGGAGAGTGGAGCGGGACTGTTCGGTCGTGAGGGACTTGGCCTTGCTCCATCCAGCAGCACGATATCAGCAGAACCTGGAATAGGGGTCTCAGTGCGTTTTTAACCGTCTCGTAGGAGATGATCGGTGGTCTACTCGGGACTCGGGGCCACCATTTCATCATCTCCATCCGAAATATGCCCGACTCGCATCCATTGCACAGCATGTCCGCTGCGAAGGATATTTGTGGCGCTGTATATTGACAACAGTTGCCTTTTGTTATTGTGCCGACGGATCAGGTGATCACAATGGCTGGTCTCGTCTCAAGGACATGGGGCTGATGGCCACTGCTGTCCTAACGAGTTCACAATGAAGGAATGAACTGTGGAGGCAAGCAAGAACGAGGGGAAAGGGAGAATGGAAAGAGACGAGAACACCCAAGAGAGAGGTCAATTGAACGGCACGAGCCGGGTACTATATGACCTGTCAATGTTTGGCCCAACTATCTCTTAGTTCCTTGCAAGTATTGCTCCACCGGCTAGCCAGTCGATCCCGGGCATGGCAAAGGTTAGGTTTGGAAATCGACCAGTGTAACGAAGAACAAGAAAAAAAGAAGTAGAACGACACGAGCATTTCTCCATGCTAGATGAAGGTAGTGATGTGATCGAGGGCCATGAAAGACCTTGGTAAAATTAAAACATTGAATATTATGGGCTGAAGAGGACGGGTGTCGTTGTGGCGATATTGTGTCACGGGGGTTAGTTCTATACTAAGCCACGAACAAAGAAAGAAGCGAGGGAGGGAGAAGGAGGCTCTTCCTCCGAGGTCGGATCAGAACCGGCCGAACATACTATCGCTGAGGTCAAGAACGGAGGGAAAGAGGGAAGAATAACGTGGCAGAGTAATGGAAAGAAAAGGCAACCCACAGGGAGATCCTCCCTACCGCTATGTGATCTGTCCTAATGTATGTCATGCTAAGCGAAGTCTAACTTAGTTTCATTTTGTTGATTTATTTTTTGCCCTAGCTGCAGCAGTCAGGCACCGATTCATGAGTGGCTGTCGACCAGCGGATAATTAAGATTATGTTATTTGAATTCTTGACAATCGGCACGGCCGAAGAGGAAAAGAGAGAGGGAAAGATAGAAGGCAGGGGAAGAGAGGGAATGTGGTTGGAAGTGGAAAAGACAGGCGACGAAGGAGGCATGTACTGCCACACAGTAGAACTGATTGATGTTTATCGGGCAACGGAGAAAAGGGCTAGACTTGACGGGGAAGATCGGACTAACTAAAAGAACATCATCATACGCACTACTGTAGGTCAGCAGTAAACAGTAAGCAGTAAGCACACTCTTCCTTCTCAGCCCTTCTTAGGCTTTCTCAGGTCTTCGTATTCAATTTCCATCTCCCGTTAGTCTGATTATCATCACATTGTTATGATTCATCACCATCACCATCATCATCACCTTGAGATGCACTTGCACCACCACCCACTCATCGGGCTTTCGTATGCAAACAGGGAACTCCCCATCTTGATCAAGGTCCATTCCAGCTCCATCCCTTGCATGGATGTGTCACTTCAAGGAGGCTGTTCATGACTCCATGCCCATGATGACCACGACGATCCTGCAGCCGACCAGGAACTGCCCGCGACAATTTGAGATATATCGGGGTTTTACTTTCTTGATTGATTTTGAAGATTAAGATTCGACTCCAAGATTAACCCCCAATTAAATATCTTAACAAGCCAAGCGGGTCTAGCCATCCCTTTGGGACAGTTTAGCACTCTCTACTTCAGACCGCAGCAAGCCATCTTCAGCTCTCGCCCATAATCCGGGAAACTCCGTCCGTTGACCGGGCAGGACAAAACTAGGGATGACCTGGTTCTCGAGGTAACATGGATGGATGAATGGTCAATGATTAAAATAAGAATAAGAATAATAATAAAAAGTATACTAACTGGAAATCTAATAAATAATGCGGCCTCGTTTTGCTGCCGCCTCCATCCCCCTTTCGACGCTAGAGCCAGCCTCATGCATATCGCATCGCAACCAGCAGCCAAAGCAGCCAAAACCATCGGTCAATCATCGAGCTGTTCGCTGCTTGTACCCGATCCTCTCTCTGTTGTCTTGCTTCAACCTCCACTTCCTCCTCGTTTCATTCGCTTTTAACCCCTCCTTTATCTTCCTCCCTCCCCATTCCTTGTGTGCCGCGTTTTGCTTTCCTTCTCTGTCCCTCGTTTCCTTCTTCGCTTCCTTTCAGTCCAATTCTGGGGTTGAACAAACTATGGTTCTGACCTTTCCTTTATCACCACCTGCAACCCCTTTGCAGTTGAAGGTGAAAGGGACTGGCTATCATTGACTCGATCGACTCTCAGCCTGTCATCCCGGACGCCAACAAAGGTTAAAAAGTGCACTGAGCAGCACGCGACGGGTGATAAAAGAAGCAAAAACTGCCTGACTGACTAAACTATTATTACGACTCGACTTGGTCCGGTCCAATTGCTGGGTCCAACGCATGCTCCATCGGGTTTTCCAGGCCATACATAGCCCTAGCTTAGGCCAAAGCCTAAGCCTACTACTATCTCTTCTTCACAACTTCACTGGCTACTCCCTTCGATTACTTGACTCTCTTTTCAATTGTGACTTACTATTACCAACCTACTTACTGAACTTGACTGGTTGTTTCATCCCTGGAGGAAGAGAACAAGTCAGAGGTGTCCGTCGCAAGTCGGTGAAATCGGAGAATCCTTCCAAGTTCTCTTTCATTGAGTGACCCCTCTCTCTGGTTTATACACTCTCCACTCCACCCTCATTAGCCGCCCATCGGCCCGTCAATCAGTCCCAACCCCACTCCGATCAACATGTTTCCTCCATCCTCGTTGGCGCTGCCACGAGAAGCTCCTCCTGTGAGACCGTCTCGGTCCTTAGAAGGATTGGAACAAGTCATCCCTCCTCGAATCCCTCAGCCGCCATCTGTTCGCCCAACCTGTCTCTTAGATAAACCGCTCCCCGAGCTGCCCGCCAAACCTCTACCAGAGGCCCCCTCAATCATGGATGCTGGCTCAACCGCCTGGAGCGACGACAGCAGCATGGTTTCCAGTTACTATGGCAGCCGACGCTTTTCCGAAGTGTCTACCACCGAGAGCTACCCCGTGTTTGTTCGCTCAGGGTCCGATGATCTGACCGGACTAGTCGATCATCCTCCCGCCTCCGCCCCCATCGATCACTATGGGGACTCTAAACCGCTGGCCATTACCGCCACCTTCTTACATGATGATCATGTCGACCGACCAGCCCCTTGGACTGTCAAGCGAGCCGGTCCCAATCACTATTTCCGCGAGAAGAAATGGGACTTCTTCCCCGAACTCGCCCCTCAATCCGCCCTACCTCCTTGTACCACCAACCATGCTGCTGCTTCTCGGAAGAAGAGCAGCAGTCGACTGAACCTCGCGGTCTTCGACTTTTCCAGGTCTCGCGGTCGCTGGAGCTCGTCCGACAAGGGGGGACGCGCTCTTGCGCATGATGTTAGAGACTCGATTCGATCTTACGTGCAACGCCGCCTGTCCAGACATTCGGTAGACCGCGACGCTGCCCGGCCGAGCTCGCGGCCAGACTCGCGACCCGACACAGTATCTTCGGACTATCCGCGCAATCAGACACCATCGATTGAGTGGACGCTGTCAAAAGAGCGCACTGAGGTAGTGAGCCCTCTGATGCCACCCAGTCCCATGGACTTTCCCAGCTCAGGCAAGCGGTTGTCCGGAGCGTCATCACGGTCCTCGCGATCGACTGTCAGCGCTCGAGTGAAGCGCCCGCCACCTCTTACCCTGCGGAAGAAGCAGCTCGCTGCTCCTCTCAGCCCCTATCCAAAACACGGGGCTTCTATATGGGAAAAGGCGGGCCGCGAGAAGCGCGTGAGCTATCGGCAAAACCGCCAGGTGCGGTTTCCGAAGTATGCGAAGAGGAGCCCGCCAACACCGAAAGGATTCATCTCATCGGCCACGCCTCCTCTGACACCCCCGGCCCGCTCCCAGATCCAGCAGAACACTCGCGACTACGTCAAGGCATTCCACAGTGGAACCTCCCACCTGTTAGGTGCTATCGGTGGGGCTCGAAAGAAGATCAGTGGGGCCAAGCTTGAGCGACGACACTCGCAGCTGAAGTCACAAATCCGACTCATCGGCCCTGTTAGTCCATACAACACCCAAGGACAGACTGATCCATGGGTGTAGTCCTTGGCAGTCTCTCGCTTCCCTATTCTTTCTATGTTCTTTTACATTACTTGATACATGTTGTCAACACTATACTTCGTGGTTTTAGTGGTCATATTAGCGTGCTTTTTTCCTCTCATTCTTCTTATATTTCACATCTGTTGTTTATACTTGATATCCCGTTGGCACTCTGCAGGTTCAAGGTCAGGCGTTGTGGTTTCGTGCTAAGCGAACTCTAAGAATGTTTTTTTATAGGCATGGTTGCGTCAATTCATGACCCTCTATTTATGACTCCATGGTTCAGACCGAATGAATACACTGTTAGCTTTGATTTTCCTCTTCCACCCCCCCCCAAGTATCTCAACATGTCAATATACCTCAAAGAATGCGACCTGAAACACGTGCCAGGGGCTAGGCTACTGTCACCCCTTGCGAAACCTCACAACGTTGCCCGAGTCACCTACAGGATGCGTAATTGCCGTGCAGGAATCGCATCTCCTGCATGCTACAGCCCACACTCGTACCGCCCACTCAGCCCTGATGAAGGCGTCTTCGTCTGCACCATCCTGCCCTCCTTGTACCACCCTCGGGAAATTAAACCACGCTAGCACCCTGAAAATCAGGATACCGGCATTTTTGAAAAGGATTGAGGAGCCATGGGTGCTGTCGCTGTGGGTCCCGAGTTGAAATTTCGAGGGTCAGTGGAATGTAACAGACTGAGGGATGTGGAGCATTCTTGCTTGTCACATCTAGGCCCATGTTGTTGAGGAGAAAATGGAGTGCATCTGCGGGGTTGTTGTGGAGTTGCGGAATGTGTTCTGTACTGTACTGTACCTTGCAGGTGTCAATGTGCGGTAGAACACTGGTGACTGTTTGTGTTAGTTTTAGTGATCTTCTTCTGATCTGATTCTTTGCTGCGATGATAGTACTCATGAGCTTGCATGTGTCTCTGAACTGCGTTATCCGGGTAAATGCTTGTGGGTGGGGAAGGTGAATACTACCGGTGCTTTAGACATTCACTCCAAGCCCTCAGAATAGACGAGGTGAGATTTCTTGTCTCCTGGATTGTTGGGTGAGATAGCAGGGTGGCTAAGTATTTACTTTTCATCTGACAGAGAATTGACCTAGATTTTAAGGGATTTGTTTCTCACTCATGCCAGTGTTGAGTCCCGGTTTGGTCTGATTTCTTAGGCTTCTCCATACAAACTCAAACCCGAGCTGAGAGATAAATCAACGTCTTGACACCAAAATCTTAAGTCAGATCTTCTGTCGCTATTCACAGACAGTCTCGTGGTAAGGACATACTACCACTATAGATTTCGCCAGGCACCGCCAATTGCGATCTGGTGCAAGATCATTCCTACCTGTCCTCACAGGGACCTTGACTCCGAGAGATACTGGGCGCGGGACTGGTGTAGAACTTGTTTCTCTTGTGCCGCATGCAGTAAATGGATCACGGGTATCTCTCGCCAGAAACACACCGCCAATTTCGCTTGCCTCGTGAGCAATCCTATTACTTGCACGCGTGGAAACTCTGTGGTGGGCCAGGTCAATGTCGTCGTGATTTTCACTGAATATGTATTGATTAAACGGGATGTAGAACACAAAGCTTTGCAAGCGCCTCGCAGTACAGCCCCACATTAGACCTTGATATGTACTATGTACTTTCATTCTGGTAGCGTTGCGCGGGGCCTCAGCTCCAGTAAGACACGTTGAACGTCTTGCCTCAAATTGGCCAGCCCTTCATCCACGGTCCCCGAAGCATGCCTAGCCTTAACATCATGATGTAGCTCGACTAGCTCCTTTGCTTGGCGTAGCTGATCCTTTTCCTGCTGCAGAGCAGGTGTTTCTTCCCTGTTGCTGGGCTGTGATTGCTTCTCTGCCGGGTGAGAATCCAATCTCTCTTGAATGGTAACGAGTGCCAGAGCGTCGTTGTAATCCTGCAAGGCATTAGTTCTTATCTGATCAACAGGCGGCTGGATGAAAGGCACAAAACATACACAGACGCGCAAAGACGTGAGATCGGAGAGGATTCCCGCTACTTGCATGGTGATGAGGGTAAGTTATCAACAACTGCGCTTATCTGACCGGTGTTGTGTGGCGACAGTGCCAACAAGGTGGAAGGCGGCTGGGAGAGCAGCTGCTGCTCACCTGCAGCCCGCGTGACGTAAGAAAGTCCATTTCAATCCAAGGCCATTCATTGTGGTGGCATGGCAGTTACAGTTATGCTTGGGCGCGCACATCACAACTCACCGTTTCTATACAAACATTATATCACTTTACACTCCCAGTTTCATATCTCAATGTGAAGAATAACTAATCGAAATGACACACCAGCATTTTCCCCAGGGCTGGGGGCCACCCCGGCTCCAACCTCCGAACCTCGGAGAATCCGAGCTCTCCGCAATGAAAAAGCGCGGAGAGCCATTCCGCCTCCCCGGCCGATTATATTCTTATCCGCCTGCCATCGCATCCCCAACTTTCTGCAATTCTTACTCACTTGACTCCTCTTCTCGCTGCACTTCTACAATTTTGACACACGACAAACACAATGGCGTCCGCGATCAAGGCTCAGTGCAGAAAGGTCATCTGCATTGGCAGAAACTATGCGTATGGTCCCTTTGTTAACGAAACCATTAATCACCACGCTCCCCAGGCTAACGGACGTTTCTGGCTCCAGCGATCACATTACCGAGCTCAACAACACCAAGCCCAAGCAGCCCTTCTTCTTCCTTAAGCCCTCTTCCTCCATTCTCCTTCCCGGCCAGGGTCCCGTCCTGCGGCCCCAGGGTACCAAGCTGCACTATGAAGTCGAACTCGCTCTCGTGATGGGCAAGACGGTGCGGGACCTCGACCCGGAGGACAGCAAGGGCGCATTGGATGCGATCCACAGTTAGTCTCTACACCCCTACAATCCGCAATTCCAAGCATCGAGCTAAGCGTTGCCTGCGTGATACCTAGGCTACCTCCTCGGCATCGACATGACCGCCCGCAACGTCCAAGAAGAGGCCAAGAAGAAGGGACTCCCCTGGACGATCGCCAAGGGCTTCGACACTTTCCTGCCCATTTCCCAGGAGATCACCAAGGCCCGTCTGCCCGATCCGCACAACGCCTTTCTGCGCCTGAGCGTGGGCTCCGAGGAGCGCCAGGCCGACTCCACCGGCCTGATGCTCTACCGCATCCCGCGCCTCCTGGCCGAGATCTCTCGCGTCATGACCCTCGAGAAGGGCGACCTGGTCTTGACCGGAACGCCCAAGGGCGTGGGCGAGGTCAAGTCCGGGGACGTGATGACGGCGTCCATCGAGGTGGACGGCAAGGAGCTCGAGGAGGGGCGGATCCAGGTTGAGGTGCAGGACCGCGAGGGCCGCTACCGGTACGCCGAGACCTAGAGCGGTTTCAAGTGAGTAGGTTTAAGAGAACATTCAGTATATATACACTTACACATACAAATACATACCCCCTTGAATGAGATCTTATCTTGAATTGATCACATCATCACTAAGCTCAATGACCCACCATCATCGCCCTCGCAATGAGAACATCCTCCTCATCAGCCGGGACAATCGGTATGAATCGCCTCGCTCTCTTCCTCTTGCGCACGATTCCCCGATGCTCCAACACCTCAACCCAGTCCCTGACACTTTGACTCTTGATCTTGCGTCCCGAACCACTACCAAAAGCCCCATCTGCATCGTTGTGCACAGCAGCAGCAGCAGCAGCAGCAGCAGCAGCAGCCTTACAAACCTCCACCCTCGTCCGTGAAGCCATCCCAGCAACCATCACCACAGAACCACCATAGATTTCACCATCCCTCCCCTCTCCACCACCACCCCCACAACTATCCAAACTCCCACTCTCCCACGAAGTACTCGTAGTCTCCCTCGAAACCGTCGAAGACAAACCACCCCCTCTCCCCATCCCCATCCCCATCCCCATCCCCAAGCCCCCGCTCACACCAACCATATCCATATACCCCAAACCAGCCCCAGCACCACCAGCAGGCATCGAATCCGGCACCAGCACTTCTTCCTCTTCCTCAAGACCCTCGTTCCTCCGCCCTTCCTCCCCATCCAGACCCCCCTCTCTTCTCGTCATCAAGCCCGCAACCCTACCCTGCACCCCCTCAACCAACCCCCCCAGTACCGCAACCTCCCCCCTCACCATATCCTCAACCCCCTGCACCCGCCTTTCCATCTCCTCCAACTCCCTCTTTTCCACAACGCAGGCCCGCTGGACCTGGACTTCCTCCCGCACATCCTTCAGCTGGTCCTGCAACGCAGCAATAGTGGCCTCCGCGGCGGCGAGGCGGGTGGCGAGCTCGATGTTCTCGCGGCGGAGTTCGTAGGCCCAGAGGAGGGTTGTTGGTGTTGTTGATGTAGCAGGAGCGGGAGCGGGAGCAGGAGCGGTTGTTGGGGCTGGTGGGGCCGGGTTTCCCGGGGTTGTGGTTGTGGTTGTGGTTGATGGCATTAGATTTGCGTGTTTTGGATGGGGGTTTGTGGATGTGCTTTGGGATTCAGAGGGTGTGGATTTTAGTTTGGAGTATGGAAATGGAAAGGGTGTGGTCGGGCGAGTATTGTATAGTATGTTTCTGTAGAGAGGGAGGTGGAAGCTGAGGGTGGCTGATGGAATGGAATGGACTGTGTACTTTGTGGGTTGGTGGTGGTGAGGATTAAGGGTGGTGGATTGGGTTATCGTGGAATGGTGTGGATGGTCGGGTTGGAATCGGTTCGAATGGGTAGGGAGGTGTAGATTTATGCTGTCCGAGGGTTGAATGAGGTATATAGAGTCGGTGTATGGAAGAAAGAAAGAGTGCCGGAGGTAGAATCTAAGGTGGAACACAAGAATGTGAGGTATAATCTACTAGAAGACTGAATATTGACTAGCTGACTAGCTGACTGAGATATAGATACTTCTCGACAGCACATACAAGATAAATAGCCAGAAACGTATCATCCCAAACTCGCCACACTGCACGGGCAGCCATAGGAAAAAAAGCGATACCTTTCTCGTCTATCGTAATGAACACAGGGATACAGACCCAGTCGGAGCCAGGAGTACACATCATCTCCATCTCCCCGCATCCTTTTGCCGCTCCTTGCGGCAAAAGAGAAAAAAAGCCGTGGAACGAGAATAATCACATTTTAGGTGCCCGACCCTCGGATCAAGTATGAACGTAACATCCTCGACCAGCCGGAGCGAGCAAGGCACAAAAATCAAATGGGAAAAAGCGTGAGAAAAGGCGTTTCCGGAAGCGAGGAACCATGAATTACAGCAATAAAACCGCACGAACGTTGTCGCATCTCCATAACAAAAAGAAAAAGGAAAACCATAAACAGTAAGTATTCGACAAGAACACACAGGACATGATGGCATGGCCACTGCAGGCCCCTGCCGCCCACTGCTAAAAAGAGAAAATGCTGGAGACACAGAAAGCCACTTTTTGAAGGATTCTCCTTTACCAAGATAAGCATGACGATGACAGAACGTCTTTCCCACCGCAGCTCACCCTTGGAGCGTTATTGGCAACTGCAGTCGTAATCCGCATCGAGGGGCATGAGGTGATTCGGGAATAAGGTGTTTAGATGAGGTCTGCCAGCCTATTAGCATCATCCAGACGGTAGGATGGTATGAAACTTACCAGCAACGTTCATGGGCATCTCCTCGATCTGGGTGCTGTAGAACTGCTCGATCTCGCGCATCATACGGACATCGTCAGCGGTGACGAAGTTGATGGCAACACCCTTACGACCGAAACGACCACCACGACCGATACGGTGGATGTAGTTCTCACGGTTGGCGGGGAGATCGTAGTTGATGACCAGGGAAACCTGCTGGACATCGATACCACGGGCCAGAAGGTCAGTGGCGATCAGGACACGGGAAGATCCGGAACGGAACTCCTTCATGATAACATCACGCTGGCCCTGCTCCATGTCACCGTGCATGGCGGAGACAGTGAAGTCACGGGCAGTGAGCTTGTCGGTGAGCCAGTCGACCTTGCGGCGGGTGTTGCAGAAGATGACGGCCTGGGTGATGGTGACAGTCTCGTACAAGTCGGAGAGGGTGTCGAGCTTCCACTCCTCCTTCTCAACGGCAATGTAGAACTGCTTGATACCTTCGAGGGTAAGTTCCTGCTTCTTGACCAGGATACGGACGGGGTCACGCATGAACTTGGTGGTGACCTCAAGGACATCCTGGGGCATGGTGGCAGAGAGCAGGGTGACCTGGGTGGACTGGGGAAGGAGCTGGAAGATGTCGTAGATCTGCTCAGTGAAACCACGCTAATCATGCCGTTAGCATCGCCAGTCAATCATCGCGACCAACTGAACTTACAGAAAGCATCTCATCGGCCTCGTCGAGGATGAACAGCTTCATCTGGTCGGTCTTGAGGACGTGGCGCTGGATCATATCGTGGATACGACCGGGAGTACCGACAACGACCTGGGGGCCGTTGCGGAGAGCGGTCATGTCGTCACGGACGTTGGTACCACCAATACAGGCGTGGCACTCAATGTTCATGAAGTCACCGATGGCGATGACGACCTTCTGGATCTGCTGAGCCAACTCACGGGTGGGAGCGACAATCAGGGCCTGGCAGGCCTTGAGGTTGTGGTCGATCTTCTGGAGAGCGGAGATGGAGAAAGTGGCAGTCTTTCCAGTACCGGACTGGGCCTGAGCAATGACATCGTTACCTGAAAAGACAATTAGTATCCAAATATGCGATATGCGATGATTGGAAAGTCGTTTCAAAGCATACCCTTGATGATGGGGATGATGGCACGCTGCTGGATAGCAGAGGGACGCTCGAAACCGTAAGCGTAGATACCTGATTGTCGTCAGTCTGGTGCCCGCACTGACCCCACCGGAGCGGATCAGAATTTGTATCACATACCGCGAAGGAGCTCGGGCTTGAGGTCCATGGAGTCGAAGGAGTCGGTGATCTCATCGTAGTTAGACTCGATCTGTCCTGTTGTTGTCGAAGTCTCTCGTTAGTTCATCTGTTACAGCGTCTTCGCATGGCCGTGCCCGTAGTTGCAAGAGAATTTCCATCGTTCTAGCCGAACCCTCTAACGGGATGACCGAAGCAACACTGCCTCCCAAGCATACAACTCTCTTGAAGATAACAGAAAGAATATTCGCAGCTGAACGTAGTCGAAGAAAACGTACCCTCGGGGATCTCCTCCAAACCCTTGTCGTTAGAAGCCATGATTGCGGTGTTGTTGTAAGGGAGTGATCACAAGCGTTGTGCTGTGATCGAAAAAGACGGTGGGGTTTGGGAAATAAAACTGGAAGAAAAAATATGCCTGTTAGCGAGGAATGCAGAGGTAGACGATGAGGGGTAGGCGCAAAGATAAGAAAAGGTAGCAGTGAGATGGAGACCTACCGAGATCACAACTTTTGAAGTTGGAAAAAAAAATATCACAAGACTACTAGAGTCGTAGGGGTTGGGAAGAAGAAGGAAGAGAAGAAAGATCAAGGTGGAAGGCCAACGCCTGGTGTGGGAAAATGGGGCAGGGAAAACCGGCGGCGGAACGAGCGAACTTTTTTTCACTCCTCTTTTTTTTTTCTTCGTTCTTCCCTGCTCTGGCTGGCTCTGTTTGTTCTGACGCTGTTTGATTTTTTTTGACTTTTAGCGTTGGCTTAGTGCAGCCGAACCTGACCGCCTACCGTCTATGGCAGATAACCCACGTTTTTTTCTCGCCCCTGTATTCTGCCGTACGCGTTTTAGTTGACCCTGATCACTCATTACGTCCAACCACAAGACTCTCCCAAGTTCACTTGGGGGTCATTCTATGAGTTGAGGGCCTAGGTCACTGTATTGGCACTGTAATGGAATTGCTTATGTCCTACTCTCTATCACCTTTTCCCCGTTGGTGAACGGGTATTCCTCGGTACGGTGCATGGTTGGGCATTATCTTGCCTGATTAATCCTTCCCCTCCTCAGCGGGCTCAATGTGGGTGTTACTAAAATTTACTAGCGTCGTACCGCCTCTCGGCGACCCCTCAGCCGAATTGGGAAAGTCTCCAGATTTCCAGCGTTGTCACTTTTTAGTTCTACTTTAGTGATTCTTTCCCTCTCGAACGCCGCAAGTATGAAAATGCCGGACATCAATTCAATTGACGGCGTCCGCGACCTGGACCAGGAGACGCTGACGCGTGCCTATCCGACTTCCATTGCCAATCCTGAACTGGAGGACGAGGCTGCCCACGATGCAATTCCCGGCCATCCATTGGGAGTCAAGCCTAGCGGCAATGCCCTGCTTGCGACGGAGAACCTTCGGGATGCCATTGGGGTCTTCAACATTCTGCCAGATGAGCTGATACTGATGCTGCTGGAACATCTCGATGGAGCCAGTCTGGTGCGCATTGGACGCACTTGTAAAGCATTCTATGCTTTCACCCGAGCTGAAGAGCTGTGGAAGGCTTTGTTTGTCGCGTACGTTGTAGATACCACACTGCAATAGGTTGCATCGCCAACGGCGATTTGCCTCGCAGGACATGACCCCTTCAGTAATGTCCCGCAAGCTCAGCGCTGACATGCAACGCCAGATCACCTCCCGCCAAATTCACGTGGAAAGGAACATGGCGCTCCAGCTACCTGAACATCCCACTCACGGAAGTGTGCGTTTTGGATTGTTCGAATCTGTATTCCGATGTTCTGCACCGGCCCTTTCACTGCGCGCATATCAGTCTCGATCCCTACGTCACCGGCATCCCCGCCCGCAATCAGATCGCCCGTTTGCCCGATCTCTCTTTCGAAGAATTCAACGAGAAATGGTCCGATACGCCGTTCGTCCTGACCGAGCCCGTCAAGGAATGGCCCGTCTACAAGAAATGGACCATGGATTCCTTGCTCTACGACTACGGCGAGACCGTCTTCCGCGCAGAGGCCGTCGATTGGCCATTCTACAGCTACGTCGAGTATTTGAAGAACAACTCCGACGAGAGCCCGCTTTATCTCTTCGACCGGGCCTTTGTGTCAAAGATGGGACTGAAGGTCGGTCAGCTCGACCAGGAACCCGAGGCCGCCTATTGGCCGCTTGCCTGTTTTGGCGAGGACTTCTTCTCCGTGCTGGGCAATGATCGGCCCGACCGACAGTGGTTGATTGTCGGACCCGAACGGTCTGGAAGTACTTTCCACAAAGACCCAAATGCCACCAGCGCGTGGAACGCGGTCATTCGCGGCTCCAAGTATTGGATCATGTTCCCTTCGTCGTCCAAGCTCCCGCCTCCGCCGGGAGTCTTCGTGTCCGAGGATCAGAGTGAGGTGACCTCTCCCCTCAGTATTGCCGAGTGGCTGTTTGGATTCCACGCAGAGGCCCGGCGCACACCAGGCTGCGTCGAGGGCATCTGCAAGGAGGGAGAGATCCTTCATGTGCCTTCGGGATGGTGGCATTTGGTCGTGAATATTGAGCCATCTATTGCCATCACGCAAAACTTCATTCCCCGCGCACACCTCAGCGCTGCCCTCGACTTTCTGTCTAACAAGGCAGATCAGGTTTCTGGATTTAGAAAAGACGTACAGAATCCTTACGAAAGTTTCTTGGCTAAGATGCAAGAACAGCATCCAGACCTGCTGAAGCAAGCACAGGAGGAGTTGAGGAAGAAGACAGAAGGCAAAAAGAGGAAATGGGATGAGATTGTTCATGGAAACACAGATCAAGAAGGGGCTGAAACCAACGAAGGTGGTGGGTTCAGCTTTGGCTTTGGTGGTGATGATAGTGACATCGAGGTCCCTTGAGTTCTTCCTACGCGAAACAGTAACAAACGAGATCGGCAACAGTCTGAACATGACCATGCTGAGCCACCATTGCCTGGATCATGCGGCCCAGTGACACCCTTCCCTCAGCCAACTTTGAGAGGGCTTTTCGGAAACCAAGCTACCCAGCTTGCGCGCCCATCTAATGGCACGCAACCGTCTTGCTAGCGGAGGTGTCGTCTCCGAAAACCAGATATCCTACAAAGGCACCGACAGCGACAGCTAGCATAACAAAGCCATTATAGGTCATGAAAAGCAACCTATGCAGCTCAGATCAGTCCATGTCGATAGGAGGGTAGTCAGGGAACATACATAATGAAAAAGCTATAGAAGACCTGCACAGCATACAATGACGCCATGGTAATCTTTCCCCGCTGCTCGACGGACTTTCGGCTATCCCTACCTACAACGAGCTGTGAGCCACCGTTTGGGATAGGCAGTGTCTGGCTGGGAGGGTCATTGGCCGGCGGAGAATCGTCGTGAATTTCGCTGCCTTCAATTCAACAAGCGATTTGTCAGGCGCATCATCTCAGCAACGGCATGCATACAACCAATGACTATAAACGAGACGACAAGATATCCCGAATGCCGTTCCCCTCCGCCGCCAGCATAGCAGAAGCAACGAAAGATCAAACTTACCTCCGACTGCGGCGGTTGTGTATGCGCTAAGCCTCTTCGCATGTGCCACCTCGAAGCGTCTTGTAAGCTGACGGACGCCCTCATAGCCGGCGGTCAAAAGCACGATGAGTAGAAGTGAGATGAGTAGAGACAAGGTGCCGGTGACACGCCATTGCGGGAAGACGATGCAAAGATTCTTTGTAGACCAGGTGAAAAGCATCTAGGGTGGGTTAGCAGGGTTGTTTTAGGGCAGGGCGGAGAAAAGCAATTATATCGCCGAGTGATTCTTAAATGGTGGAACATCAGAAGAAGAAAAGCAATCTTCGAACTTACATTCATACTACACTGTCCCATGTCCATATCACCGTGGTCATGGCCATGATCCATATCCATCCCCATATGGTGCATCGAATGATCCATCTTGGGTGCTGTGAGATGAAAGAGCCAAGTTCGGTGTCAGCTTGTACGAACGACTTGCCCAGCAGAGCAGCGATGCGGTAGCAGAGCTGTGAAATATCGACACTTTTCAGGGACAACCAAGGTAGATTGGCACTTAAAAGCCGTGGGCCAGGAAGTGAGAAGAGGGATGGAAGTGAGGGATGGCGTAAGTGCCTATCGGAGTAACTTACCAACAAACCAACAAACCGTCCGTTCTCCGCCCCAGATGCAAACTAGCCAAACAGCCCTTATTGATAAGGTCTGCCGAGCAATTGATCTTCAATCCGCCGCAACAATCATTCCCCCATCCATTCATTCCGATACCCTTCACAGTTCTGTCGACTCCGCGCGCCATTGAATTAAGACTCAACTTTCCACTGACCAGCATCGCCATTCTCTACAGCAGCGTCGCGCTCACCCCTTTACTCTACCAATAAGAGCGCTACTCAACCCGATCAGAGCCCACGCGCCCGCGACTCACCACCTCAGAGGTCGCATCCAAACCACACCTCCCAGCACCGGATTGCGCGTCACAGCCGCCCTCCTGGAAGCAAACATGGCCTCACCCGCCCCTCTCTCAACTGCAGCAGCAGGAGGCTCAGTTCCAACGCCCTCCCAAACTCCAACCGCGGCACCAGCCGCAGCAACGACACCCTCGCACCTCCGAGATATCACGCAGCAATTGAGCGCAGACTCCAGCTCCAACCCCAACTCCAATTTCAACACCACCACCACCACCAACAACACCAATGCCGCCACAAATCCCACCATACCATCCACAACACCGGCAACAACAGCAGCGCCCGCGCCCACACCAACCCCAGCAACCCCCGGCACCCCCGGAGCCACCGCATCCCACCCGCCAGCACCAACAACCACAACCACAACTACAAACGGAGCCACCGCACCCTCCATTACTGATCCAACCGCCCCAACCCCAGCCTCAGCCGCAGCACAAACAGCAGCAACCGCAACAGCAACCGCATCAGCATCAGCTTCCACAACAACCCCAACCGCCAACCGCGGCCTGCCATACTACGAGAAACTCCGCCGCGAACTGCGCGACACACTGCAAAAGAAACGCCTAATGGATAAGAGCATGGTACGTCCGCCCACCTTACTTTACCCCCATTCCCGACCGCGTTCCCCTCCCCCAAACACTCACCCCCTCGGGCAAAAATCCTAACAAACGAAACCAGGCCCAACTCGAAGACCAAATCTACCGCTTCGAACAATCCTACCTCGAAGAAACCACCGCCGGCAACATCATCAAGGGCTTCGACAACTACATCAAGGGATCCTCGACCGGCGGCGGACTTGGCGCGGGGGGGCTCTCGCTGTCCTCCGGGGTAGGAGGGGGAAGTGGCAGCGGAGGCGGTGGTGCCGGTGGAGGCGGCAGTGGAGGCGGCGGCGGTGGTGCGCGACGGAAGGCGCCCGTCACCGAGGCGGATCGCGTGTTCTCGAGGAGTTCGGCGAGCTATATGCGGGTTCGTTTGCCCCCCTTCCCTGAAAACCTTTTCCATTTTGCTCTGGAATATGTTATGAATACTAACCCGATATCCCCTGTTGGTACAGGACTCCCCCGCCCCATCATCCGCCCAGACAACCCCCTCGCACGCCCCCACGCCCAATTCCACCTACAACGGCTCCTCGACCGGTAAACCCGGCAACAATGGCGACGCCTCCTCCGCGGCGAACAGCGTCAAGGGCCAATCGTCCAAAAACAAGAAGAAATCCGGCGGGGGGAATGTGAATAAGGATAAGTCTGCCTCAAATAACAGTAACAAAGACAACAATAACGATGAGGAGGCGACGGACGGGGATCGGCCGCCGACGAAGCGGTTGAAGATCACGTATGGGCGGGATTAGGGTTCGCGGATTATGGATGGTCTGGGTCTGCTGTTACTGGGAGTTTTGTTTATGGAGCTTCTGGGCGCGGAAAAGAATACAAGCTTGATTTGCTGTTTCTTTCTTTTTTTTTCGGTATGGCAAGGATGACTGACTGAATTTTAACTGTTCATCATTGCGGCGTGTGGGGACTGTATCTTACTTCGTGATATCCTTTGGTACTGTACCATAACTACACTTTGCATTGTTGGTAGTGATTATGATCGACGATATAGGAAGAACAATGTCTTTGATCAGAAAAACAAAAAACAATATGTTTTCCATTGTGTGGCGGTCCGATACAATTGACACTACAATGTGGCTGACACTAATGAAAAAGAAAAACATCGCACAAGAACTACAGCTGCAGACGGTACGTCGCCACCTCGAAGGCTCTCAGCTCGATATCAATATCCGTGGTGCCCTCAGCACGCTGTATCAGCGCAAGAGGCGTCTCGTCATCCTCGAGCACATTGCACTTCCAGGCCTTGCTGATGGGGAGCTTGGTGTGGATGGTGCCGCGGCTCTTGCCTCCGAGCGACTCGTAGATACGGAGGATGACACTCTTGCCGGAGCGCCGAGGCAGATTGTCTCGGGACACGTCCTCGTCGTCTTCGCCACGCTTGATCACGTCGATGACGAGAGACGAGTTTCCGGAGAGCGCAACCGATTTGAACACGTCGCCGGCTTCGTGGCCGCTTGCCGCCTCGAGGACAAGAGGATGGTTGAAGCTGTACCCGGCTCGGATTGTGCGCGCATCCAGTGGTCCTGCGTGGGGGAGGATAGCATAGCGGATGTGATGCCGGCCCATATCTGCGTGGGCATCTGGCGCCTTCGGGGCGCGCAGCAGCGAGAGACGCATCAGGTTGCCGGCAGTGGCGAAGCCATACTTGGAGTCGTTGAGGATTGACACTCCATAGCCGTACTCGGACAAATCGGCCCATTTGTGGCAGCATACTTCAAATTTGGCCATATCCCAGCTGAGTGAGAGGTTAGTGATAGATTTCGACTCTGTTGTAGATATAGTCGACTTACTTGGTATTGTAATGCGTCGGACGCCGAATGATTCCATATTGTGTTTCATAAGACGCCTCCGTATTAGTGATGTCCACAGGAAACTCGACCTTGAGGAATCTCATGGTCTCGCGCCATTCGACCTCACTTTCGAATTCGACGTAGGAAGGCTGATCTCCGTTCGCAGCAGTAAGACTGATGATGGTCTTGATCCAGCTATTCTCGCTGATCTGAGTTTCACTAACGACACTGACACGGTAAGGATGCTTCTCGGAAATGGTCGTCTTTCCATAGTGCAGTTCCTTTCTGGAATCGAGATGGAAGACCTCCACATCCCAAGCCTGCCAGTAAAGAGGCTTATCGTCGAAAATCACCAGTTGCCCAGCCTTCTCGCCCTTAGGGATAATTTCACGATCCGCCTCACGGTCGTACAGAGATGTTATCACACCGTTTTGAATATCGACTCTGAGGTTTGCATTCTCCAGACGGAAGACACCAGGCTTGATTTCGGAAACTGTAACAGCAGGATCCGCCTTGGAAGGAGCAGTGGTTTGGCATCGAATAAGGCCAGTTTCCCCATTGGCCAAGGCATATTTGGGACCGCCCGGAGCTACAAGTTCAGAGGGAACTCTGACAATTTCGGAACGTGGCCAAGGCTGTGTGTTGAGTGCTACGAACTCCTTGCTAGTCTTCTTCTTGCCGATTCCCAGAGCTCCAAGCGCCTCCTTTCTGAGCTTCTGACCTGTTTCGAAGATTTGCTTATAGAGCTTGTTCGAGTCATCATAGCACATCTCAATGGAGCTTCCGGGAAGACAATCGTGGAACTGGCAGAGAAGAACACCCTCCCACATGTCATCAATGTCCTTCTTGGGATACTGATAACCTTTGTCGCCATGAAGAGATGCCAGAGTGGCAAGGTACTCGATCTCCCGGAGCAGGAATTCAGATTTGCGGTTGTTTCGCTTGTTGTTGGCTTGCGTAGTGTACGTGCCTCGATGGAGCTCAAAGTACAGTTCGCCATACCAAGTTGCGAATTCGGTGCCAGCTTCCGCCTTCTTCTCGAGTCGTGCAAAGAAGTCGTCGACGGATTCCCCCATCTTCACGCGAGGAAGCAAGCCCACTTTGTCACTCATTCCGCGGCAACGACGCAACTTCTCCAGATGTTCAAAGGTTGGGCCACCTCCACCATCACCCTTACCGAACACCAGGAGCGATGTATTGTCCTTGTCCAGCGATTTATGCTGAGTCACACTGCGCTTAACATCACCAAAGTGGGCGCTCGCAGTGTAAGTCTCGGATGGAGGCATGTGACACATAACCTGACTCCCATCCAGCGCTACCCATTGAAAGGTAGTGTGGGGAAAGTTGTTGATGTTATTCCAGCTGAGCTTCTGGGTGAAGAACCGGCTCATACCAGCCAGACGACAAAGCTGAGGAATCTGCGTGGAATAGCCAAAGGTATCTGGCAGCCAAAAAGTGGTACAACGTTCTCCGAAGTGACTCTGGAAAAAGCGCTGGCCATAGAGAAACTGTCGCACCAATGACTCGCCGCTTGGCATGTTAGTGTCGTGCTCGACCCAACTGCCACCGATGGGCTGAAAATGACCCTTCTTGACCCATTGTTTCACGCGGTCAAACACCGAGGGATAGTACTCTTTCAGCCACTTGAATTGCTGTGCTTGGGAACAAGCAAAGCGATGCTCCGGATAGCGATCCATCAGATCACACTGGTTCGACCAAGAACGGGCCACCTTACGCTTTGTTTCGGCCCAAGGCCAGAGCCAGCAAGTGTCGATATGACAGTGACCAATTGCATAGACGATTGGATCCGTGTCGGTGTCATATACCTGCGAAGAGTCGACTTTGTCTCCGATATACTTCCTCGCAATCTTGCGGCCCTCTTTGATGGACTCTTGACTCCCATTGCCCGCAATGAAAGCATCAATTATAGCGTTAGTCACCATGTTGGCCTCATGCTTTTCCCAAGAATCTCCTGGGAACTCTCTTGCAGCATCTAAGCACAATACCAAATTAGTGTGAGGCAAGACAAAAGGCAGTATCGGACAGAAGGCTTAAGGGCTCGCAGCATACCTCCAATGATCCAGAAATCATAAAACAACGCCCGTGCTTCAAGGTTCACCGCGGTGATTTGAGCTTTACTCAAGGTGAAATATTTGTCGGGAGAGGGAGGCTGAATGGAATCTCCACCGGGAGCATTACCAAACATGCCATTGCAGGCCATTTCGATATAAAAGACATGTTCCTTTCCGTCGCGCCAGGCGTCGGGGATAATCCACTCGATGCGTTCATTTCCACCGGTGAGACCTTGCAAGGGCCGGCCGTCTTCCGACCAGATCAAGCCTTCGTTGTTTGCATCCCAGTGGAACTCCAGGCGTTCTTTGTCGCACATGTCCTTGGGAACAGTCAAGCGGATGTGAAACCAATGGGTCGACCAGCTTGGACCGAATGAGGCCCCAATGTGGGTGGGCTTGAACTCATGGGAGGTGGCTTCCTTGAAGGGTGGACGCTGCAGGTCGGGGACGGAGTATACGGAAAGCTTGACATGGTCTTCGTCGGAGTTGACAGCCTCGTAGAATTTGCTGAATTGTGGTGTCAACAAAGGGACTGCTGTGATAATATTATAGAGGAACTTGAAGTTAAACTCACGAGAGAAGGTTCTGGCCCTCGTATTGACCGGTGGCGGTGAATTGCTTGAGACGGTCGGTGTAGATGGATTGAATGCGCTGGCCGACGGGGCCTTGGGGAGTCCGGGGAAGGGCGCTGGGAGCTTGTCGGGGCATGTCTCCACCCATCGCCGCGGGTCTAAATTGGGGTGGTGTGAGTGGAAGGATGGAAGAGCTCAATGATGGGGATACCGTCCCAAAGAACCAGAAGGGACGAGTGTGTAGATGGTTAATTGATTGCAAGAATTGGATATGAAGAAGATGGAGAAAGCAAAGAGATGGAAGGTTTGTTTAAAGAGGAGACGAGCAGCAGGAGGCGGAGGTGGCCCGGCGAGGTGGAGGAGTTGCCAGGAACGGCCAGGCACCCTGCCGGTGACATACCCGAGAGTCAGCTGAGCCCTCACAGTGCTGCATCCTACTGACTACTGACAATCTGGGGTATCACAACTCTATTGACTGGATGGGGTATTTGGCCAGATATGTCCATCGACTAGTTATACCTGTTTGTTATGTCTTGCCTACAATGGAACTTGGATCAATTGACCATCCTCTCTAAACCAGGCTGAGAGACACTTTTACCCATGGACTCAGCATACAACACAATCAGTTCCTGTGGCTATAGTGAGTGGTGGGTAAGTAATTCCTACACCTTGTCAGAGAACTTGATCACAGTCTTTGTCTGCAAGGCAAGGCAGAAACAGGCCGATAGTGCTTGGCATCTACACTGTATCGGTTTTGGTAGCCGCTTTCGGGGTCTGGATTGCGGAGAGCGCCTCCCTCTGGAATGCTTCCTCAGATGATTGTACTGTACTGTCCTTTCTTGTAAAAAGTATAGCAAAACATAAGACATAACTTGTCGTTTTTCTTAGATCTTGAGGTATTTCAACATCAGTCTTTAAGCATCTTCCATAACATTAGTAGTAGCAACCTCCAAGTGAATCAATTTAGTTGCTCGGTTATCAGTGACATCATTAGAACAAGCGGGGAAACACGAGGATGAAGGACCGACCATAGGGAATCTCGCATTAGTGATGATAACCCGGCTCAAGTGCCTTCATGACAATGATCATGCCGGGTTTGAGATGTGAGCTATATTTAAGAGATCAGTGTAAATGGTAGAAATGATATAAGAACAACCCCTCGAGGTTGGAAGAACCATCGATAGAAGATAAGATGTTCTCAGAACTGCGGGGCAGAGAGGCATGGCGAGTAGGAGTGCAACAGCACGACGGAGTACGACCAACCCAAAGACAACCAACCAGTCTGCAATCCTCTCGATAGTTGAGGATACACACTAACCTATCAATCCTCTCGGATTGACACTTGTTCTATAAGCTAGTAACTTATCATTAATGGCATGCCCAATCCTCTAAGTAATCTCCTCGGAACCAAGTATCGATTTGTCATCTCGGCTGAGTAATCCGATAACCCGCGACGACAATCTCTGCCACTTCCTTCACCGACCAATCACGTCACAGTCAGATGACGGTTTTTGAGTCAGCCAAAAAACGAATTCCAGCGCCGATTACGCAGAGACGAACGTCCATTTAATCTGCCATCACAACCACCACTCAGACAGATTTTCAGACACAAATCTCATTTCACCACAGTCACTCCTTCATATTCAGAACGCGAGCATACAGGAAGACCAGTCGCAATGGCTCCCTCGTTCGTGACCATCGACACCACTCCCGACTTCGACCTGGCTCCCCCACCTTCGGTCAAGTCCATTAACCCCTCCTCCTCGCAGCGTATCCTCCTCCTCGCGCCGCCCTCCATCGCCACCCACGAAGAGAAGCTGCGCGACCTCTTCACCACCTATGACCGCGCCACCACCGACCTCCAGATGCTCGACCGCATAGCCGGTGGTTTTGCCTCCCTCCCCGCCAACACATACGACCTCGTCCTCGTCCTCACCGACACCGATGGCACGCGACGCTCCGAGGCTCTGCAGCTTCTCAACCGGAATGTCTACGGCGCGCTGGTTCCCTCCATGAAGGCGGGGGCGAAATTTCAGACTCAGGATAATGTCTTCGGAGAGGCTGAGGAGCGGGAGGCGGTGTTGGCGGGGCTGGTCAAGAAGGACAAGGGGTTCGAGAAGGCCGACCAAGGCAAAGTATTCGCCATCCCCCTTCGTCGGAGCGGAAAGAAGGACGCCGCCAAGAAGACGCCCAATGCTGCCGCTACAAATACCCAGACCGCCCCCCTGCCTCCTTCCCCCGCCGCCACCGCTCCTGTACAGTCTGCCCCGCCACTGGCGATGGGCATCATCAACGATGACGCCGACTACGAAGATGACGACGAATTGATCGACGAGGATGAACTGTTGTCGGAAGATGATCTGAAGAGACCCATTCCCCGTGAGTGCTTCCCCACTTTCACCGTCCGTATTGCCAAAAGCATCTCGCTAACCAATACTCCCATTTCTACAGCCCCCGAGTGTCAACCCAAAAAGGGCCGAAGAAGACGCGCCTGCAAGGACTGCACCTGCGGCCTCGCCGCCCGCCTCGAGGCGGAAGAACAAGCGCAGCGGGAGAAAGCCGACAAGGCTTTGAACGTGATGAAGCTTCAGACTGACGATCTGAACGAGTTGGACTTCACCGTGCAGGGCAAGCCCGGCTCCTGCGGGAATTGCGCCCTGGGCGACGCCTTCCGGTGTGATGGTTGTCCCTTCATCGGTCTTCCGGCCTTCAAGCCCGGCCAGGAGGTCCAGATTATGAACAATGTTGTGCAATTGTAGCGTTGCTCTTTTTTTTTTTCTTCCTTTGTGCTCTTCTTAGCGGAGTTGGTTCCGGGGCCGGTAACGGGGTATAGGGGTTTCAATTTGTCTTTCTTCTTCCTTTTCCTTTTCGGGACGGACAAAACAAAATAGATAGAATCTTTTGACGAACTTTTGGATGAAATGATGTCAGCAACTACTAATCATATCATTATCTTTTATTTCCTTCTTCATCACCTAGGGTCCTTGTTTTTGAGAACGGAGTCACCGATCTTCCAGGTGTCGTTAGTATATCGGGCTTCCTGTTATTTATCTCAATGAAGGTATTTGATCTATCACTATGTAGTAAGAGGGTCTGTTTACTCTGAATACTTGGGCATTGGAATCATCATGCCAGCCCATGACCAGCTCTTTTCACACCATTGACTTCTACCGCATTGCGGTGGTCATGCAGTCTTCCAAACGTCCCGTCGTGAGTCCAACGGTCCAAACGTGGTCTTTGAGTTCTATCAGGGGTCTCTGCAGGCACATTTCATTCACCGCCGCCGCTGTCGTCGTTATAGTTATCTAATTTATTTCCTTACAGCGCAGAATTATCCTTCCATTTAATTAATGCCCGCGTCACGCCAGGCGACCATCTTGACCCGAAATTCACAGATGGCTTTCTCCATCCATACCGTGTTAATAACCACACCTCAGAGCCGGGAACCTGTGTCCTAACCTTGTGCTCTGAGTTGGAAACCACGTACTTCGTGAATAGGTCTGTTCTTCTTTAGCCAGTTTCACCACCTGTCTCGTCCATGATCTTATAACGTTCCGTGGAAACCTGGGTCTGAATTGGGGGTAGATATCATCTACGCGCTGCCATCGCAACCCCATCGCATTGACGACAAAAGTGTTCTTTGCCCATTGTTCACCTGACCTCAAAATCGAGGAAGCTCTGTTGGGTTAACCAGCGACGGCATGTGGTGTTCACAGTCGGATTCACCATAGAAGTATCAGATGGTTCATTAAGTAGTGTTTGTATGTGATATTACTGATCATTATTCGAATGATACGATATGCTGCTTCACATAACATTCAACCAGGGCAAATCGCCCATCTTCCCTCGACCGTCGTTAAAGCCAGTCCGGCGGCCTGAACTTGGGCTCGTTCTTACTTTGAAGGCCGATTGATGGTCGGGGTCGACGACAGATAGGGTACTCTGGTATACGTACTAGTAGTCACCATGCTTAGCTTACTCTGTTACCAACACAGATCATCATGTCCGTTACCTCAAGCCCGTTTGCCAAGAGAGAAAGGAAGCTTTCCAGATGTAAGAATTCAGGATTCAGTGATTCACTATACGAGAGAACTAATTGGAAATACCCACTGGTGCCGAAGAATCTCGCTACGACCGTTGAAGCGAAGTTTGTCACAATGCGCGCAAGTCGGTGACCGAACCCGGGGGCGGATTTAAGGCGTGGAGATAAACAAAGCCGATAAGATGCCGGACTAACGATCAAGAAAGCTTGACTTCGTCATTCTTTCGGATACTACGGAGCTACGGAGCTACCCACGGAGACCTCGATTCTGTATAAATACTTCATCTGCTCGTCAACGTTGGTCCCAATCAACATCAATCAATCTTCAATATCACCAGAGATACTCTAAATCATCACCTCATACTCACCTTACACATCTTCAAAATGCCCCAACTCAACGGCAAGGAAGTAGGCCCAATCGGCTTCGGCCTCATGGGCTTGACTTGGCGCGACAAGCCATGCTCTCAGGAGCAAGCATTTGAGACTATGCGCACCGCCCTGAAGAATGGATGTATGTGATACCATATCTCATTATCACTCGCTAGCCGGCTCGAACTTCACCCTCCATGGCAATGTACTTAACCTCAGGATGCAGGCAACTTCTGGAATGGTGGCGAGTTCTACGGGCCTCTCGAGTACAACAGCCTGGTCCTCTTGGAGCAGTACTTCGAGAAGTACCCCGAAGACGCCGACAAGGTCGTCCTCAGCATCAAGGGTGGCATGGACCTAAAGAAGTTCAAACCCGACGGCACCCCGGAGGGCACTCGTCGCACCCTCGACGACTGCACGGCCCAGCTCAAGGGCCGCAAGACGATCGACCTATTCGAGTTCGCCCGTCGCGACCAGACCGTGCCCATCGAGACCACCTTCGGCGTCATGAACAAGGAATACATCGAGACCGGGAAACTCGGCGGCATCTCGCTGTCCGAGGTCCGCGCCGAGACGATTCACGAGGCCGTCAAACATGGGAAGGTGGAGGCGGTGGAGGTGGAGCTTTCGCTGTAGGTGCTTCTCTGTTACATCATGTTACTCATACACTTCTCTCTAATCGCCTACGAAACAGATTCTCAACGGAACCCCTGGAGAACGGCGTGGCCGCGGCCTGCGCGCAATACGGCATCCCGATCGTCGCCTACTCGCCGATCGGCCGGGGCATGCTGACGGGCCAGTTCAAGAAGTTTGACGACCTCCCCGAGGACTCGATGCTGCGCCACTACCCGCGCTTCCAGCCGGGCAACTTCGAGATCAACCTGCAGCTGGTGCACCAGGTGGAGGCGATGGCGCAGAAGAAGGGCTGCACGCCGGCGCAGCTCGCCATAAACTGGACGCGGGCGCTGTCGCGACGGCCCGGCATGCCCACGATCATCCCCATCCCCGGGGCGACGACGGCGGCGCGCGTCGAGGAGAACAGCAAGCTCGTGGACATCACAGACGAGGAGATGGCGGAGCTGGATGCCACCTTGGCCAAATTTACGACGGCGGGCGATCGCTACCCTGCCTATGTTCCTACGAACACTTAGAGATGTTTGGTGCAAGAGAGGGTTTGGGAAGGTGTTATTTATAATGGAATTTGTGCTACTTGTCAGCCATCCGGCAGGGAGTTTCTTAAAATTCATTTCAATTTGATATTATTCTCATTAATATCGCTAACGCTTCGGTAATCAGCTTTAAGACAGAAATTGCTGGCTGAAGAAGCTGCATCCTCCGTTGTCGCTACCGCCGGTGCAGGTTAGTTGATATACCACTTAAATGAAATATAAAAATATAGTAAAGAACAAAGAAACAGACATTAATTAAGCCTTTTGCTATAATATTAAAGTAATATTACTAAAAAAAAAAAAAAAGAAAGCGTAGCTCTTTATATTACTCTGAAGAGCAGATATTCTGATAATTTAAAATAAAGTTCTGAGGTATGCATTTAGAGTCTTAGCATTGCTGCTAAAGACTAGACTTGTTGAATAATCATTGAATAATCATTAGACTTAACTAGTCGTAATACTTCTAGTGGCTGGAAGAAAACAGAGCAGTCTAGATCTTAGAAGAGCTGCAATATGTTTAATAAGTTTAAAAAAATCTCAAAAATCGTGGGACTTAATCTCCGACATAGTTGCAGCTGAAAAAACATCTGAAGATTTAGATTGTACTTAGCTACATACTCTATAACTAAGCATATTAGCATATTTACTCAGCAAGTTGTTCCAAGTAAAGTCGAAACCAATGCTTCCTAAAAACCTTAAGATTTTTTAAAAAGTACTGCCAGATTTAGAGGAGCCGAATTATTTGCGGCGATTCGGATGTATTTGTCGTATCGCGCTATCTCCAGAATATATATGGTCCTCTTCAGGCGGTAATAAATAGCCGTCTTCTCGATGAAGCAAGAGACTGGGGGGGGGATGAGTTTAGCGCGAGGCAGATGGTTGATTTAGTTGAGGTGTGAAGATAGTATCAATAAATAATTTGACTTTCAGAGAATCAGCTAGTGGGAGATCAAGTATAACAAAGACAAAGTAGACTCATTCTTACAAGAGAAGTAGTAGTAGTAATAGATCTTATATTACAGTGCGCAACTGTCGGCCTTTCGCAGGTTGACGCACTCCGTCCTTTGATAAACAAGTATTCCCCTATGAACCATACTTCGCATGCTTTATCATCTTTATACATATAGGCGAAAGAGCCGTATCCACCCTGATACACCCCGATCTCGGACATCTTGTCGCCAAAGCCGAAGTGCATACCAGTCCGCAGGGAAAACCTCCAAAATTTGCGAGAAACTCCTGATATACTAGATATAGAGAACTCTGGGGGAGGTATCAATCAGAACTATGCCACAGTATACCCCTATCTCTCAAGTGCACTGCCCATGTTACTGAAAGAGGAATCGTTTTGATAGACAGCAAGCTAGGTTTGAATACCTCATCCAACACAAATTTGTGGAATGGCTAGTCACTACCCAAAGAGGCAAGATTGAAGCTATAGGCAAAGTACTAAAAGCCGGTCCGACAAGGCTCCGGAATACAGTCAGCCACACAGACCAACCCCGCAATCTCGATCGTCACTCACGACCGTTTCGCACCTCCGTTCCATATGTCTCAGCCCTTTCCAAGATTGCTAGATTCCCCTCTCTTCATCGCTTATCAAGGCCACATCGTTCGCGAAAAGATGGCGACAAGCGTGGACGCCAAGCTGCTGAGGCAGACCAAATTTCCGCCGGAATTCAGCCGCAAGGTGGACATGAAGAAAGTGAATATCGAAGTCATGAAGAAGTACGTGAACCCGCCCTTCCCTCCCCGGATGATCCTTATCGGACAGAGAGCACCTTTACCGAAGGGACAGTAATGGTTACTGACTATTTTCTTTTGTACTGGTAGGTGGATTGCCGGCAAGATTTCCGAAATCTTGGGCAACGAAGATGATGTTGTTATCGAGCTCTGTTTCAACTTGTTGGAAGGTTCCCGGTTTGTATGTCGGTCCTTGTTCTACTACGCTCCGCTCTGCGGCGAACGCAATGGGCCTTTCTTCGGAGCATCTGTCGCTAATATGAGCCTGGTCTTAATTCCTCTAGCCCGATGTGAAATCCCTTCAGATTCAGCTTACGGGCTTCTTGGACAAGGATACCGCCAAGTTTTGCAAGGAGCTTTGGTCGCTATGTCTGAGCGCTCAGGAAAATCCCCAGGGTGTTCCCAAGGAGCTATTGGAGGCCAAGAAGCTGGAACTTATACAAGAGAAGGTGCGATAACTCGAAAGGTGCCTGATGTGACTGCCAACTCACCTCTTCGGCCTTTTAGATTGAAGCCGAGAAGGCCGCCGAAGAAGCCCGCAAACAGAAGGAGCAAGAACGTACGAGGGAGAGAGAACTGGAGGACATCAGACGCAGAGAGCGCTCTGAGCGTGGGCGAGGAGGAGGGGGGCCAGGGGGCGCAAGACGAGGTGGTGGCCGTGGCGGTCGGGACTTCGACAGACGGCCGCGGTCTCCTCCCCGGCGTCATAGCAGGGAGCGTTTCCGCGAGCCACCTGGACGGCGGGAGTTTGACTCGTACGTTCCCTCCGGATCTCGCAGAAGCCGTCGGCCTTCCTACTCCCCCAGCCGCTCACGTTCTCGATCCATCTCGTCGTCGCGGTCACCACCACCGCCGCGCCGCCAGCAGCGGTACTCGAGTAGGGACCGGAACAGGCGACGTCGGTCCATCAGCAAATCCGTCTCGCCGGACCGCGGAGACCGCAGCCGACGGCCCCGGAGACGCAGCCCTGATTACGGTGATCGCGCTAGATCCCATTCCCGCAGTCATTCATCCTCCCGCTCACGTACTCCCAGAAGAGACCGCGACCGCAGAAGACGGAGATCCGTCTCTTCCCGCCGCGTATCGCGCTCGCGCTCACGCTCGCGCTCGCGCTCGCGCGGCGTGAGAGACAAAGGCAGACGACGGGACTCGTCGGGGTCCCGCTCGCGTTCCAGGTCGCCCGGGTCGGATGCCAGTGGCGCCCGACGACGGAGATCTTCGCCTTATTCTTCACGAGTTGATAAGAGAGAACTTACCGCTGATATTGCCAAGGCCCGCAAACCCCGTGATGACCGCCGCTTGAGCCGCAGTAGAAGTCGCGATGACCACCGCAGACGCCGACACTCCTCGCGGGGGTACAACCGTGATCGCAGCCGCAGCCGCAGCCGAGGCCGGTCCCGCAGCGCCAGTCAGGACTCGCGCAGTCGCAGCCGGAGCCATAGTCGAGGAGGCCACGCAAGGGATCGCAAGAGACGTCGTTCCATCGAGAGATATGCCCCCGCAGGCCGGAAACGGCGCAATACGTCTTCCGTGTCCGCTCCTGGTGACAAACGACAGAGGATGGCTGATAATAATGAAGCGACAAGCCGACCTGAACCGCCAGCCGAGAGACCGAGCGGCAGCAGCGATCAGGAGATGAAGGAAGCCGACGAGGTGGGTGAATAAATTTTTTCGAGGAGAAAAAACTACCACCACCAAAAAGCTATCCATATGGCCTTATTTCATGATGTCCGTTCAATACTCTAAACACCCCTCTTGATTCTGTTGGTCACCGTGGAACGAAGCTAACATGATGATTGTATCTGTCTAGCCTGCTCCCTCCAGATCTACCCACGCCCGCATATCCAACTCGGAATTACGCGAGAGGATCCTTCGCGAACAGCTAGTCGCCAAGCGCCGTACCGCCTCGAGCGACAAGGTAGGTAGTCTCAGCCATTCGAAACCATCCGAATAAAGAGAGGTCACAGAGAAACATCCCGCGGAGGCAGGGCATGGCATAGCATAGCAGCACGGCAGCCCGCACATGAGAATGAATGGACATTACGAAATTTCGGTAGACTTAATGCGAGAGAGAATGTCAAAAAGAGAACCATTAGCTGTGACCGTTGCACTTACTTCTTCGTCCCGACTATTTGTTTTTTCTGGCAATAACCCCGAGTAGATGCTTCTCTTTCTCTAGCCGGCCAAATAGTCGGTTATAGTGCCAAAAGAAAAGAAAAGAAAATCATACGGCTTATTGTAGCTGTCGGACCTTTAATGCAATTCCAGAACCACGTTTCCCAGCTCAATAGTCTGTCTTTAAGTTCCACCCCACCGATGAATAGTTTAATATCTTAGAGTTCGGGGCCAGCCTTAAGACATGCTGCCCGTTTTTGAGATCTACCGCCGCCCACCGACCACGAGGTCAGGAGAGGGGAACTGCCTCCATATTTCCATAAACTGTTTTGGGAGAGCAGCAATGTATCCGTGCTCTCAATTGTCTGCAAGCTCAGACCGAATTGACCCCCTTCTCCTCCCCCCAAAAAAGGGGGATGCTACCACGCAGTCGGTACGACTTATCCGCGGTGCCCCTTTTTCTTTCTGGCTAGACTAGTAGGCTAGGCTAGTAGGCTAGGCTAGTAGGCTACTCCGCACGCGCGCCGTTATGCTCAATAATGAGCACGGACTTTAAGTAGTATTTTGTCGACTTCCTGTCGGATCCGAAGGGGTTGAACTTTGGAGGAATTGGGGTCTAGATTCTAGAAGGGGTGCCGGTGGACTATAGGCAATAGTCGATAACTTGGACTTACCCGGTTTCGTTGTCGTGTCTAGTCTGCTAGAGCAAAGAAATCAATGGGTGGATGCAGCAGCAGCAGCAGCAGCAGCAGCAGGCAGCGGCCGGGTGGGAAGGGAAGGGAAGGGAATTTCGAGGGTAAACAAACATCCACCCACCCACCTACTCACTCCCTCACTGCACGTTTGCATTAAATTTTTGTCTTGACTTCTCCTTGTGATCACTATGTGGATACCCAGTACTTCTTCTTCTTCGTAACAAGTAGGTAGGAAGTATCCCTGCTCTTTTGTCCTGATTAGTCCTTCTATGGGATGGGATGGGATGGGACGGGTACAGTACAAGCATGCACAAGATAACTAACTTAGCTTCTACACAACTACTGATTTCAGAAATGCTGTACTGTGTATGTACCTAGAACTATCAACACAATCAACACTAATAACCTTAGTGACATTGAGTTATTAACAGTTTCCATCCAGCCCCCGTGCCCCGTCCAATTTGAAGCTGCATGCGTAGATTGTGGTAAGTTGGTGCCATATCCCTACTAGGTAGTCTAGGGCATCCTATTTCCTGGTCTAGTGCGAGGGAGGCCATGCATGCATGCATGTCTTACTTCATAGTACTCTGTAGTTAGTATGAGTCTGTACTGTAGCTCAGTACGTAACCGGAACCTCCCTCTTCTTATTATACAGACTGGGAAAAGCACCTACTCCGTACGTAGTACATTCAACTGAGTGGTCGACCGGTTTGCTGACAGGGATTCTCTAACCCTGTCCCTGCCCCTGTACCTGTACCTGTAGGTTTCTTTTCTTCTTGTTGTTTTTTTTCCCCGTTGAATTTTTTTTCTCATCACAAAAAAAGGGAAAAAAAGGGGAAAAAAAGAAAGAAGAAAAGGTAGAAATCCAGACTCGTTCTCGTGGTGATTACTCGATAAGGTAAGGTAATGGGTACCGTCTGCCATGGACAGAGATGTAGTGTACTACATAGTATAATGATGGTGCGATTGATCCCAGCAGTTACTGAGTATTGTCCAGTACACTCAGACGAGCTTCCGCTGCTGCTGCTACTACTGCCGCTCCTGCTCCTTCCGGCTTCGTCCTGTGCCTCCTAGAGGTATGGCTTGATTCTATTACCAGCAGCACTGTGGAGTATAGCCTCGGGCAAAGAGAAGGAGGCTGTGATGTGATGAGGACAAGAAAAGAAAGAGCCAGAAAGGGGAGGGGAATTGGGATCGGCCCGCTTTGCATTCGCTTAGTCGAATTGCAAGGCAGAGGGTGCCTTGGTGCTTGGTGCTTGGTGCTTGGTGCTTGGTGCTTGGTGCTTGGTGCTTGGTGCTTGGTGCTTGGTGGCTTGGGGACAACAGGCGGGAAAGGCAAGTAGCAAACACAAACAAGAAAATGCTGGTGGACGCTGATCGGGGCGGGATTGCTGTCGATCAGGCAACGTCAACACTGGGGCTGAAAAGGGACAGCCTCGAAGCGAATTGGAAGGACGGAAGCATTGAGCGTTGATCCGTCTTACTGGAAATAGTTTGGGCTTTGCAAGTAATGATCGAGAGCCTTGTTGGGCAGTTGGAAATGGGTAGGTAGTAAGCGAGTGCTGATATGTTGGAATTACTAAGAAAATAGCATTAACTACCAGGCAGTCGTTGGGCATCTTGTCTGAATACTACTGCTACTACTCCAAAGTAGAACAAGTGAAATCGAATCTTCCTCGATTATTCAAAGCCTTAGCTATAATACACAGTCGGCAGATAGTACATGTTTTTGGTAGTCTCGCGGGAAACGAATGTACTCCATTGAAGGGGATTTGCAGCAATGAACATATCAACAATAAAGCAAATACATCGTTCCTCTGACCTCTTGCAGCTTTGTACAAAGATAGGAAGCAGACAGTTAAGACAATCTTCAGAAGAATTAGAATTAGAAATGAATTAGGTATATACAGGAGCTTTCTTCGCCATGCATGCCGTTGCTATCGTCTCATGTCGGGGATGTTGGTGGGTGGCTTGCTTACTCGCAAGCAGCGACGCTCACAGTGGTGGTGACAGTGACAGTGACCACGTCAGAGCCCGAGCCGGAGCCCGAGCCTGCGACAGGGGCGGTGGTGATCTGGGGGGCGGAGCCTCCCTCAGCGGCGGTGCCGCTGGGGGCAGGAGAGCCCTCAGTCTGAGTAGCAACAGGGATGACAGTCTCAGTAACGAGGGTGTCGCAAGGAGTGGTGGTGGAGTCAGCGCTGGCGCCCTCAGGGACAGTGCTGGAAGTAGGGACAGCAGGAACGCTGGCAACACCAGAGGGAGCCTCACCACCAGCGGCGCCACCAGAAGGAGCGGCGCCAGAGCCACCCACAGTCTGGGTACCGACAGGAACGACGGTCTCGCTAACGGAGGTTTCGCAGGGAGTGGCGGAGGCATCACCACCAGCACCGCCGGCAGCACCACCCGAGGGAGCACCACTCGAGGGAGCGGCACCGGAAGGAGCAGCACCGCCAGCGGGGACGGTGCCAGTGGGCACAGCACCAGTCTGAGCAGGAGCGGTGGGAACAGAGCCACCCGCAGTGTTGGTAGCAACAGGGATAACAGTCTCGCTGACAATGGTGTCACAAGGAGTAGTGGCAGACTCAGCACTGGCACCGCTAGGAGAAGCACCGTTGGAGCCGCCGTTGGGAGAAGAGCCAGAAGAGCCGCTAGAGCTGCCGCTGGAGCCGGAGCCGTTGGAGCTGCCAGAAGAACCGCTGGAGCTGCCGCTGGAGCCGGAGCCGCTGGAAGAACCGCTGGAGCTGCCGGAAGAACCGCTGGAGCTGCCGCTGGAGCCGGAGCCGGAGCCGTTAGAGCTGCCAGAAGAACCACTAGAGCCGGAGCCGCTGGAAGAACCGCTGGAGCTGCCGGAAGAACCGCTGGAGCTGCCGCTAGGAACACCACCGGTAGGAGAAGCACCGCTAGGAGAGCCGCCGTTGTTACCGGCAGGAGCGCTGGGAGAAGAACCGCCCTGGGTGTGGGTAGCAACAGGGACAACAGTCTCACCGGTAAGAGTCTCACAAGGGGTGGTCGCAGCACCAGCACCAGTACCGGAGCCGGATCCGCCGATAGAGCCAGAACCAGAGCCAGAGCCAGAGCCAGAGCCAGAGCCACCAACAGAACCAGAACCAGAGCCGGAGCCGGAGCCATGGCCAGAGCCGCCGCCAATCACACCGCCGGTAGGAGAGGAGCCACCAGGAGTGACAGGGGTGCTAGAGGGGGTGGGACCCTTAGGAGAGCCAGAGCCGGTGATGTCGGTAGGGCTGACACCGCTGGGGCCAGTGCCGGAAGGAGAAGAGCCGCCGCTGATGCCGGAGCCGGAGCCAGAACCAGAACCAGAACCGGAGCCGCCAATAGAGCCAGAGCCAGAGCCAGAGCCGGAGCCGGAGCCGTGGCCAGAGACGGAGCCAGAAGCGGAAGCAGAGCCAGAGCCGCCAACGGTCCCAGAGCCGGAGCCGCCGATGGAACCAGAGCCAGAGCCAGAGCCGTGGCCGGAGACAGAGCCAGAGGCAGAAGCAGAGCCGGAGCCGCCAACAGTGCCAGAGCCAGAGCCAGAGCCAGAGCCAGAGCCAGAGCCAGAGCCAGAGCCGTGACCAGAGACGGAGCCAGAGGCAGAAGCAGAGCCAGAGCCACCGACGGTGCCAGAGCCAGAGCCAGAGCCGTGGCCGGAGACAGAGCCAGAGGCAGAAGCAGAGCCGGAGCCGCCAACGGTGCCAGATCCAGAGCCGCCGATGGAACCAGAGCCAGAGCCAGAGCCAGAGCCAGAGCCGTGACCAGAGACGGAGCCAGAAGCAGAAGCAGAGCCAGAGCCGCCGACGGTGCCAGAGCCGGAGCCGCCGATAGAACCAGAGCCAGAGCCGTGGCCGGAGACAGAGCCGGAGGCGGAAGCAGAGCCAGAGCCACCGACGGTGCCAGAGCCCGAACCACCAATGGAGCCAGAGCCAGAGCCAGAGCCGTGGCCGGAGACAGAGCCAGAGGCAGAAGCAGAGCCGGAGCCGCCAACGGTGCCAGATCCAGAGCCGCCGATGGAACCAGAGCCGGAACCGTGGCCAGAGACGGAGCCAGAAGCAGAAGCAGAGCCAGAGCCACCGACGGTGCCAGAGCCCGAACCACCAATGGAGCCAGAGCCAGAGCCAGAGCCGTGGCCGGAGACAGAGCCAGAGGCAGAAGCAGAGCCGGAGCCGCCAACGGTGCCAGAGCCAGAGCCGCCGATGGAACCAGAGCCGGAACCGTGGCCAGAGACGGAGCCAGAAGCAGAAGCAGAGCCAGAGCCGCCGACGGTGCCAGAGCCCGAACCACCAATGGAGCCAGAGCCAGAGCCAGAGCCGTGGCCGGAGACAGAGCCAGAGGCAGAAGCAGAGCCGGAGCCGCCAACGGTGCCAGAGCC